TTTCACTGTAACGAACACAAACTAGCGTCCTCCCGTTACCCTAAGCTCAGTATACCGCAAGCTACAGCTCGCGGTATACTGAGGCGCCGCAGCCGGAGCGGATCCCGACGTAGATGACGGGATCCGCCCAGCTCCGTGAGTGACATCTGGCTCTGCCTATCTAGAGGCAGAGCCAGCTGTACCCGCCCCCTCCCGTTCCGCCAGTCAGCGCTGGCAGATCGGAGAGGGGAATCCAGCCCTCCCCCTGTCACGGCAGAGAGCCGTGACAGGATCGAGAGGTGAGCAAACCTGGTATGTGTTCGCTCACCTCCCGATCTACTGAGCCGACCTGTGACAGCCTCATTGTCACAGGTTGGCTAGAACTATGAGGTGAGTGGAAATCACTCATCTCATAGTTCTCCTTTAAAAATACATGTTACATAGTTACATAGTATTTGAGGTTGAAAAAAGACAAGGGTCCATCAAGTCCAACCTATAGCATGCATGCATGTGAATCTACATGTGTATGAGTCCATGTGTCATCTTCTTCCTAAGTGTACCTGTACCCCTGTATGTTGCGGTCTCTGAGGAAATCGTACAAATGCTTTTTGAATATTTCAACACACAGCTGAGATCACTGCTTGTGGCAACGAGTTTCATACCCTGACCGCTCTTACTGAAGAAGCCCTTACGCCCCTTGTGATAAAAGATGGTTGCCTCTAGTCTTTGTTATGGAGGTTGCTGTAAAGAGTTTATTGTTGATGTTGCTATTTCCATTGAACATCTTGTACAAGAAAATCATATCCCCCTTAATCTCCTCATTTCAAGCTTTTAAATTTAGTAACCTTGTCTCATAGCTTTGGTCCTCTATCCCCTTAATTAGTTTGGTTGCCCTTCTCTGGACTCTCTCCAGTTCAAGGACATCCTTTCTGTGCATTGGTGACCAAGACTGGACCGCATATTCCAGATGAGTTCAAACCAGCGATCTATAAAATGGCAAAATTATAGCCTTGTCTCTGCAGTACATTCCCTTTTTAATACAAGATAGTAGTCTGCTCGCTTTGTTTACGGCGGCCTGGCATTGCAAGCTATTATTCAACCTGTGGTCTACAACGACCCCCAGATCTTTTTCCATTTGTGACTTCCCTAGTGGAGTTTCCATTTATGTGTAATCCGCTTGCCTATTTTTAACTCCAAAGTGCATAGCTTTACATTTATCAACATTGAACCTCATCTGCCATATATTTTCCCACTCCCCAACTTTATCCGTGTCTATTACCCTCCCGATTTTGGTGTCATTAGCAAACACGGAAACATGACTATTTACTCCCTCCCTGATATCATTAATAAACAGGTTAGCATACAAAAATAGCATACAACAATAGCATGGGGCCCAGCACTAATCCCTGGGGCACGCTGCTCATGACCCTAGACCAATCTGAAAAGGAGCCATTTGTCGATACTCTCTGGACACGTTCCTGTAGCCAGTTCTCTATCCATATACACACCATTTCATCTATGCCCATCAATCTCAGCTTGTGTAGTAAGCGTTTATGTGGTACCGTGTCAACTGCTTTAGAAAAATCCAGATATACTACATCCACCAGCCTCTCTCTATCCAGATCTCTACTCAACTCTTCGTAGAATGTAAGTACGTTGGTCTGGCAGGAACAGTCTTTCCTAAATCCGTGCTGATTATCATTTACTATGCCATTATCCTGAACAAAGTCTACTAAGTAGTCCTTAATCATTCCCTCCAACAGTTTGCATACTATGGATGTAAGACTGACTGGCCTGTAGTTCCCAGGTTGGCATTTTGACCCCTTTTTGAATATCGGTACTACCGTAGCCCTCCGCCAGTCACACGGTACTCCACCAGTCATTATGGAGTCCTTAAAAATGAGGAATAACGGTTTTGCTATAACCTGGCTGAGTTCCTTAAGTACCTTGGGGTGCAGGTTATCTTGTCCTAATGCTTTATTTGCATTAAGTTTTTCAAGTCTATGTTGAACCCCGGCTTCCGTCAACCACTGTGGTGTATTTTACGATGGGCTAAGTGGATTCTTATCTATATTAAACCCTTCTTTTTCCTGAGTGTATACTGAGGAGATAAAAATAATTCAACACCTCGGCCCTCTCCCTGTCGTTTGTGATTAGATTCCCATTAACGTCCTTTATAGGGCCTATCTGCTCCTTTCTTACCTTTTTACTGTTTATGTATTGGTAGAATTTTGGGGGTTCCTCTTACTGGCTGTGGCGATATGTTTTTCGCACTCTATTTTAGCTCTCCAAATTACATGTTTACATTTTTTATTACATTCTTTGTATTTCTGGAAAGCTAATGCCGTCCCCTCCGTCTTATATTTTCTAAATGCCCCTCTCTTGCCCTTGATGTGTTGCTTTTCAGTTGTATCTAGCCATGCAGGCTTATAGCATTATGTAGCCATGCTGGTAATAGCATTATGTAATGTAGTCTTGAAACACTCCCACTTCTGGTCAGTGTTCAGAGTGTGGAATAAATTGCCCCATTCGATGTTGCGTACTATCTGGCGCAGCTTATCGAAGTTTGCCTTTCTGAAGTTTAGAGTTCTTGTCCGACCAGACCACTTTTCTTTCCTGTACCCAACATTGAAAGTAATCACATTGTGATCACTATTACCGAGTGTCTCCCCAATTGCAATATCTTCAACTAACTCCGCATTATTGGAAATTATTAAATCTAAGATGGCATTTTACCTAGTTGGAACCTCAACCATGATCCATGAAGTTGTCCCACCATAGGTTCAGAAAATGTCCCGCCTTTGCCGAATTGGAGGTTCCATTAGCCCAATTGATGCCCGCATAATTGAAGTTGCCCATCACGACAACATTACCCTGCTTCCCAGCTATTTCTAATTGGGAGTGTAGGTGACCCTCTTCCTCCTCCCCTGTATTCGGAGGTCTGTAGCAAATACCCACAATTAATTTACGACAATCATCCGTCCTATCTATCACAAGGATTCCACTTCATCGCCACCCACTGCAGTGATATCGTCCCGGATATGCATATTTAGATTATTTTTAACATACATGCAAACCCCCCTTCTCCCAAGCCTGTCCCTCCTGAACAGGTTGTACCCTTCTATATTGGTAGCCCAGTCATGCGTGCTGTCTAACCAAGTTTCAGCTATTCCCACTATGTCGAAGTCCTCTTCGAGTAGCATAACTTCAAGCTCCAATACTTTATTTGCTAGACTTCTAGCATTGGTGTACATACATCTGATTTTTGTACTACTATGGGTATTTTGTTTACCCCTTTCTAGCGCCCCACTACTTTTTTTGCTCATACAGCTACCTTTAGCGCTTTGTTTCTTTTGATCATACTTTTTTATATGACCTTGGTATCGGTGGATCCTTATGAATTTGATTAACTTGTGCAATTGGATTCACTATATTGACTTTGTTGACTGGAGTGAGCCCTCTGCATCCCCTTGTGTTACTGCCCTCTGTATTAATTGTATCTGTGTTTACTTGTTCTAGCTTGGTTTTATTTTTATTTATTTTTATTCCCTCCCCCCATTATCTAGTTTAAAAGCTCCTCCAGTCTTCTAATCATTTTTCCCCCCAAAAGTGCTGCACCTTCCCCATTAAGATGCAGCCCGTCTCAGCTGAAGAGCCGGTAACCGACTGAGAAGTCAGCCCAGTTCTCCAGGAAACCACATGTATTATCCACTACATACTCTGTGTGTGTGTGTGTGTGTGTGTGTGTGTGTGTGTGTGTATATATATATATAAATATTTTTCATGATAGTGTCCCTTCACCCTCAAAGTGTAAAATATTTCAGGTATGCGTAAAAGACAAAAAGTTCTCTACATTTATCAAGAAGAAAATCACCATAAAACACAAAAGGAAATTGTTCACATAGAAACAAAACTTAGCAATGACATTTTAAATTACAGGGCAGAGACTTTATGGTAAAGTAATGGTAATTTAAGAACCTGTTTGAGAATACAGAATTCAGCACATTTCTAAAACGTGCTTGAATTTTCAGCAGGAACATTTTCAAAAGAGCTGAAATGCTTTTTACTCAAACTATCACACATTTATTGACTGGAACTAGATTTCAAGTAGAAGGACATACTAACATACGAGAATCATTTGTCAATGCTCTTTTAGATTGTTTTTTAAAACACATAAGGAAATTAAATAAGGATAATTAACAGCTGTGTTGCAGTAAGCATTTATTTATAAACACATGATAATCATTAACATTTACAAGTAAAAAAAGTAAGAAAAAAAGTTGCAAAAACTATGGTTATTGTGAAAAAATAACAAGCTGGAGGCAACAAAGGGCAGCTGGTAATTGGTGCATAACTAAAGCAGTTCATCTTAATAACACTTACAAGCTTTGTATCAAATATGATACAGGGGAGCGTCACTCATAAGTGACCTTGATAAAAGAGGATTCTTTTCTGATGTGCTGAATGCATTCAATTCAAAACATGTATAAAGGTTACACAGAGTTCTTCAATAAGCTATTATTTTTAAGTTTGAAACCTTTGTAAATACAATAGATCTCTGATTAAGGGAATATATGCTTTAGAATAAGAAGCTGTTGTTTGGATTGAATGTCTTATCACTATGTTATTAGTTAAATTATTTTGTCAATATACATTTTTTTAAAAGCAAAACACACCACAAAGGCAATGACTTTCATTAAACAAAGAAAAATATCCAATGTACAGGTTATGTTTTACTTTTCCTTATAAAACAATCATCTGCTTTTCTTTAGTGTTCAATGTTTAGTAAAGTGCATTTGTGCCCAGGCTATGGACAATCAACTATTTACATATTCTTAACAAACAGTAAAGAGCTTTAAAATAAACCCTTACTCACCTCTATAGTTGTTATAAAAATAATAAAAAACAAATTTCTTCAGTCTGGTAACTACTTACAGTTCATGCTAATTAACATCTGTTTAAAGTAAAAAAAGTTTTCACAAACCACTTTGGTCATGTTATGGAGGAATTTACTTTGACTGTCAAAGAACAGGATCAGAGTTTTGGCTATAAGTAGAACTAATTCCTGTATCAGAATCTGTATCACTAGTAAGCTCTTCACTGTTGCCAGTACTTACAGACTGGTTGTATGATTGTGGAGATTCATAAGTCACTAAATGATTTGATTCATTTAATAATTTTAGCTCTTGTTTTAAAACATCATATTCTCTTTTCTGTCTAAGTAGAACAGAATCATGATAGCAGATTTCCTTTTGCATGCAGCAAAGGAGAGAATGTAATTTCACTTCCACTTGAAGGCTTTCTTCAACCGCTTGTCTAAGAGTTTGCAACATACACATGTCCCAAGTTTGGTTTAAGTTTTCCTCACCAGCACACAAGTCTTCCCATTGATATTTTGGCATTGTATCGGTCTCTTCTTTAATTTCATTGGATAATATCTCAGTATGCATGAAAGGGCTATTTGTTTCATCTTTAATATATAATAGTTCTCCAAGACTATCTTTGTCTAGTAAAAATTTGCATCTCTGCTGTTTAAATGTACCTTCTTTCAAGTGGCACTGCCTGCAGTGAGCTGAATGTTCATCCTCGTCTTCTTTGTCCAGATGTAGGTATGGCATGTACTTCTCAATCTGTTCATCCAACTCTAGAATTCTGTGAATTTGTTTTTTAATTGTGAGATTCTGAGAAGTGATTACTGGAGCAAATTTTTTTATGCTGTGTTTTTCTTGAAGATCCATGCCCTTTTTTATTTCTTCTAATTTTCTAAATGCCCTCCTTACAATGTTTTTCTGTTTATGCAATGGAAAAGATTTAATAACAGATGCTGTACTCTGATGGGGACAGTTTGTGTGCGTGTGATATTCAGCAGTATTCCACATTAAGCAAGGCTGCTTAAGCTCTGATTTCTCTAGAAAAAAGCTTACGTTAACTTGTTCTGCACCCCATGCCTTCCAAAGCTTTAACATTTTTGTGGTAGGTGGCAATGTACATTGGAATCCTCTCCATTTTCCAGTGATATAATACTGTTTAGGATTACCCAGTTGCACATGCTTGTTACCCATTACAGTTTGTTGTTCCTCAAGAACAGCTTGCACAACATCTGCACTGATTGTATGCTTTGTTAATCCACAAACAATTTTTTCTTCTTGGCCAACCCATACTACAATGTAGCCAGCTCTAGGTTCCATGTTTTCATTTGATTATCTAGAAAAGGAAAAAAAGAGTTAGGTCTGCTCAAATATTTACAAAAATGTAAACTATGTTATGTTGTCTCAGCTTTCTAAGCTCCAAAAGATCCAGCAACACAGGTTAAAAATAATTTCTTAGTCACACTGTACAATGGACCCCTAAAGACAAGTGGGCTGTTCATTTTGCAAGAGAACTTGCACATTGCAGAGGAGGTTTACCTTAGCTTGGTAAATCTGGTAAAATTTCTCTTTGCATGGAATACCCAAAAGTGCAAATAAAAAAAACAGTATTTTTGCTTGCACATGATTGGGTGATGGAAGTCAGAAGAGCTTCACCTCATTCATTAAACGAAAGAAAAATGTCCCCTTCAAAGTGCAAATTTCCTTGCAAAGTGAACAGCCTATTTGCCATTAGTAAAATCAACCACCATGTAGGAGTGCCCACTGGTCTAATCACATTTTGAAATGATGATAAAAATACCATGAACAGAATATGTAAATGCACTATTATCTATAGTTTACAGAAATAGCGCTGTGTCAATTCAAATGGTGAGTACAACCAAGTCTTAAGGGGGTTATTCACTACGTTTGGCTAATCCTTTGGTTCGCTTCAGCTGCAGGAACCCTTTGGTTCAGCCAAAGTGAAGTGTAGCTATACCTGCTATTCACAATCTGAGGTACCGAAGAGAATGACTGAGTCGAATGCTGAGCCTACAGTTCAACTATTCACTCTCTGCTGTTCAGTCTCTATAAGAATAAGAGTGAACAGCAGGGAATAAACTGCCAAACTGCTGAATGTTCGCCACAGCCCATCCAGATGTTGCATCGGCTGAGGCGAACAGATTCTTCCCTTTGGTTCAGCCAAACGTGCTGAGGCTGTACAGGTGAACCAAAGGGAAGTGAAGTGAGCCAAATGCAGCCTACGTATAGCTAAAAATAGATGTATAGAGGTACTGTGAATGGCCAAACAGGCTTTGCCTCAGTTATTAGTTTGGTTGCCTTCAGCAGCTTAGTGAATAACCCCCATGTAAGCAACAATTGTCAATCAATATGGCAGTCTAAGAATATGCACCTTAGTTAGCAACTGAAACTCCTGCATGTTTCTCCTCATGGATGTCATAGTGAGAACTAAGAAGTACATATTTTGAAAACATATTTTTGGTTCTGTATCTTCTCACTTTTTCTTTCTGTCTCTCAGCCTTTGAAGTACATATTTGTTTGCACTACAATTTGTAGTTAGTTTTTTTTTTCAAATTCTCTATTTATAAAGGCAAAGCAGGATAGACCATTATACATATAAGGCAAAAGAAGCAAATTACAAAAGTTATACAAACAAAGTTGGTTATGTAGAACCCCCAGTCCTCACAGAATATTTATCACAAACAAGCTGCATAACTGAGCTACTGTAATAGAAGGGAGAGGCAACTCCCGCTTCGTGCCATGAATTTTTAAGGTTATCTTTTCAATAACCAGCAGAAATAGATTGAATTCAAAAAAGTGTGTAAAAACCAAAGAACACTTTTAACTAGGCTAGATAACAAAATGAATAAATGAAGTAAATATAGATGAAGGGCAGAAAGGAGAGACAGGTAATGTGAAAGGGATAGAAAAAAGCAGAAAAGCCAGAGCAAGTACATTTCTGAGCTGGATAGAGCAGAAGGATCCCAGTCATAAGCAATAAACTACAAACAAACATCATTAAGCCCCTAAAAGGTACATCATTTTGGGAGCTACTCTCTTATGGCATTAGCTAACAACTTGCCTGGCTTGTTGCCATACTCATCCTATCCAAAAGGAGAGAGTTCAGGGCACTTCTTACTCTGGTCAGTTCAGCCCAGGTCTCTCTGTCCAAAGTCGTCTTGTGACCCACCTCCAGAGATCACAGTTCCACATACAGCTCTTCCACCCATCTGGGATGTTCACGTTTACAAAGCACTCCTATTTTGGTGCACACTCCCCAAATCACACATTTATGAGCCTCCAATAAGGTAAGGAGGTTTTGGCCCTGGTAGTCATTCGCATTTCAGGGGCATACCACCTTCCTCAGAAACACAATTTGGTGATTCTGAGGAAGGGGGTATGCCCCTTAAACGCGTAAATCCAGCCTAAGAGCATTGTATGGTGATGTGACCAGAGGCAGCTTTTTATACGCAGTCGGAGTGGAACATTCCTTAGACACTTATCTTGTGGTCTTTTATTGACAAGCGTGACTGAAATTTTATAATTGTGAGTATTTATAACCATTTTTATTATTCAAATAAAACAAGATTTCACACAAGGAGATGGTGCTTTGTTGCTTTTGTCTTCTAGGTAAAAGTAATGTTTACAAGCACAAATACATCACAAACATGCAAGAATTGTTTTGTTTTGTGTATGGTATTTATTTTGTATTTTTATGAATAGTGATGGATTCAATTACATAAACAGCAAAATAAATAGATTGCAAAATATTAGATTGCTAAAACTGTACAAACATGGTATTACACTACATTAATGTATGCTTTGAAACACATAGGGGAGTGAAAGCCAAAAGGATACTCCTTTATTGATGCATGCTCAGTATCACATAACACAATGTTTTTGCAGCTATGCAGTTTGCCTGATGAAGGGGACCCTGTGTGGTCCCGAAACTTCATGTTATGTGATACTGAGCATGTGTCAAGGCATATCGATCAGCATACTGGAGTGCCAGTGACCCCTTATTTTTTATATTGAGTGGCGCCATCCACTTGTCACTACAGCACTCAACTATTTCAAAAGGGACTTACCAGTCAGGAGTGCGATGGGACTTGGACATTAATCTACTCTATCATCTGCCCCCCTCAACACTCACAGTCAGTGCAGTGTAATTCAGTGAAACTCCTGTTTTCTTCCAGATGGTGATGGAGGTGGCAATATTAAGGAATGTGGCAGCGGCATGACATCACAGGAGGAGTTGAGTAAGTTCAGCATCTGTTATGTGATACATGGCTACTGGAAAGCTTTTGAAGCCCACTACCTGGAAAATAAATTTTTATGAGTAATATTTCATTTTTACCAACTTCAAATAGTCAAGAAAAAAATACTATGCATTCTTTTTAAGATGGAAGAAGGTGGGGATGAGGGTAGGTTCTATGTGTAAAGCTTACATACTACTAGAGGTAGGGTTTGATATCAACACTTCCCAAATACACTAAGGGGTCTATTCATGAAGCTGCCGATCCTTTGGCCGATCCTTTTGGCTTCGGCCGATCCTTTGGCTAGCTTCGGCCCCAGGACCCCTTCGGTTCAGTAGAACCGAAGGGGTGCTGTACGGGCTATTCACAATAGCCCGTACAGCTCCTGAACGTGGCCGAGCGGCTCAGTCGAGTCGAATGCATATGCATTGGCTCGGCTGAGGCGCACTGAAAGCCGAAGCTGGCCGAGCGGCCGGCCATTGGCCGAGCGGCCGGCCATTTCAGCTCGCTGCTGTTCGGCATCTATAAGAATAGGCCGAACAGCAGTGAGTAGCCTGCCGGAGGTTCGGCTCAGCCGATCCAGATGTTGGATCGGCTGAGTCGAACTCCTTCTGCACTTCGGGTCGACCCGAAGCCATGTGAAGCAAGCCGATGTATGGCTGAAATCAGCCGTACCAGCCTGAAGTGAATAGCCGAACAGTGTTCACTTCACTTGGGGTCGGTTGTTCACTCGGCTGCCCTCGGCAGCTTAGTGAATAGACCCGTAAGACCTTCAGAACTGGAAAAGCAATTATGGCAACATTCCTTGCTACTATTCTTTCCTTTTTGCAGGATACTGGTTTCTTGAAAACGACAGATTCATTTTAACTTTCTAGGAAACTTAGAGAAATATGTAGGCTGCCTTTACTGATCTCTCTCTGACAATGCCATCTTCAATGGCTGCCATGCTGATGGATGCCCATCTGTTCCAATGACTACAGTACATTCCAGATCTGATCCATATTTTCTCACTATGGAATTCCTTTAGCTAGATGTATATATTCTTCAAATATAAAATTACATAAGTGGCCATTTTATTTTGTAACATGCACCATACTGTAAGTGTTGCATAAAATCCAGGAGTATTTCATTTAAAGATCAACTCCAGCCAAAACATTTTATTTAATTATGGATGGATTAGGGGAGGTTTAGAGATGGTTTCAAATTTTCTTGCCCTCTTTGCCCCCTTGACCATGCAGAGGGTGGTAATATTGTCTGCCTAAACACAAGTCTGCTATTTGTCAGCACCCAAATGTCTTGCTCTGTGATTGGCTTAAGTACTGAAAGGAAACCACAACTGCTGACAGGTAAGTGTGGCACAACAGTATAGATTATAGACAGAAGTATAAAATAGTTTAGGTTTATAACACTATAGAGGTGTCCTTTAAGATATATTTGACCTGTACATATTTTCACTTTACATTTGTAAACACTTAAAGTGTTTTTTATGCTCCATTTTCCTTGTTCTACAAATGTATTAGTGTATTATTGATATATCCATGCCCTACAAAAGCACAGAGTGCAAAGTATATATTTAAATCTGACAACTACGGACATGTTTTGGGTGTGAGAAAAAATATTCAACTGAAATGCTGAATGAGCTACTAGTGCCAATGTTTGTCTTGTATTCAACTCTAACAGAACTTTTACTAATGAATGTGCTGGATATAGCAATCTGATAACAATACATTTTTCTAGTTTTTGAGCCGCTGATTATTCAATTAAATCAGTCAGTTATTTGTTTCAAATACAGTTAAAAGTAAAGCAATGACATGGCAAATAGGAGTATGAAGTCTTTAAACATTGCAACCATCAAATTTGACAAACACTTACTCCATGTTAGTTATGTGTTCCCATTTGCATTGCACACCAAAAAATAATTGAACAAATATGTTTTGCCTTTCTAGTTGTTTTTTGAAGCAGGATAATATGCAGAACTTTACAGACAGTCTGAACTTGTCAGAATAACTGTCTGAATAATACACTATTGGAACACATATGGAAATTTTTTTTATTGTTTACCACCCAGGCCTTGAAATCT